TGTGTATCTGTCTTGGATCTACATGCATTAGCCCAATGCTTTCTGAGTTTGCAATGTGAACATTGCCCAGGCTGTTTTCCAGGCTGTCTCTGGGTTGACTTTTTTCCTGCCTTGCAATCTTTGGCAACATGTCCAGGCTTGCCACACTTAAAATAGGCCTTTTTGTCTCTACTTGCCAAGAAATCTCTTACTGATTGTCTTTGCATGGCTCCCACCATAGTTAAACCCTGTTGGTAGGAGGGCCCTGTGTCAGAACAGAGTCTGATGTATCCAGTGAGTTCCCTAGGGTCTAATGGCTGCTTGGCAGGCAGGATTGGCATTTTCATATGCAAGTTGTTTCACATAATCTATACCTGCCTCTGCATTACCAAAAATCCTCCCTACTGTTGTCATCAATCGATGAACAAAATCAGAAAATCGTTCATCAGACCCTTGTCTAACTGCTGTCAAAGATCCCCCAGAGTCTCCCTTTACCGGGAGTTTACACCAAGCCTTCATGGCTGCATTTTGAATTTGAGTGAATAAGCCTAGGTCATATTACATCTGGTCATCACTAGAAGTAAATTGCCCTTCTCCTAGTAAGGCATAAAAGGACCAACCATTGCCTGCCTGAATGTTTCTCCTAGCTGTCTCTTTACAATTCTCATGATACTCTGGTTTCCAAATAAGATGGTCACCACCACTTAAAACTGCTTTAACTACAGTATTCTAATCACCAGGAGTCAACCACTCCTCAGCAACAGATTCTAAGACTGCAAGAGTAAAAGGAGCAGTGGCACCGTATTGTAATACTGCATTTTTTAATTCTTTAATTATTTGAAAATTAAACCCTGTGTGATGTCTCCAAACAACCCCTTGAGCATCTGTGGTCTCTGATACAGAGAAAGTCTCAGCCTCTCCCTCCTCTGGGTGATCTGTGGCTGAACTAAAGCCAGAGGGCAGGAATCGTCTTTGTACTCTGAGTTGAGGAACCCAAGGATCCGGGGGATTTTTTTGTGGGTGGCCTTGCCCTCGAGAAACGTCTTCTCTGTCTTTAACTTTTGTAGCTGACTAATTAAGTCCTGATACTCTTCCTCTAACTCTATTTGTTGTTTAAGGAGAGAAATTTTATCCTGTAACTCCTTTCTGGGATCTACAACCACCATCCCCATATCAGGAGCATCTAAAGGCAGAGACACATAGGGAGGGAGGGGGCCATTCAGGGTCGTGATATTTGACCACCTCTTCCTCTAGGTTGTCCCAGTCTGGCTCAGACAAATAGTCATCATCCTTTGGTCGTATTTTAGATTTTAACTTTGGGTATATGCATTTTATCTTTTTCTCTTGAACAGTTGAGTCATTTCTCTCTTTGGGCCGAGCACTGTTATTTGGTTTTGTTTCCTTCCCCCTTGGATTCTCTGTCTCTAGTCTGATCCAAATTTTGGGACCTATTGGATGATCTTTGAGAGGTTGCTCCCTGATCATCATCACTATCTAGAGAAATTAAATCTAGTCCTTCCTTAGAAGAATCAACCTTGCCGGGCAGTGGTGGCACACTCCTTTAATCCCAGCACTTGGGAGGCAGAGACAGGATTTCTGAGTTTGAGGTCAGCCTGGTCTACAGAATGAGTTCCAGGACAGCCAGGGCTACACAGAGAAACCCTGTCTCAAAAAACAAACAAACAAACAAAAAAAGAATTAACCTTTTATTTTTTCTTTTCCTTTCCTTTTTTTCTTTTCACTGTCTTTTAAATTTTTTTCATCCTCTTCAACGACCACCACTATCAACAGATACTTTGTTGAGATCATTTCATTTATCAAGTTCCAATATGAAAAGGCAGTAACTGGGATCTTTTCAGGCCCAAATGTTCTGAAAAAGTATTTAAGTGCATCTTCAACTCTATGCCATCTTTTTTCATCAATGGTTCCTTCTTGAGGAAACCAGGGATATAACTTTAATAAAATGACAACAAATGCTGACAACAAATGCTGAATTTTCACCTTTATTCCTTGTGTCTTTAAAGCCTTTCTCATCTGTTGCACATAAGTTCATGCTGACTTATTTCTTGCCCCATTTTTGTTCCTATGACTTACTGGTCTCGACGCAGCAGGTTCCCTAGGCAATGATCTTTGTTTCACTTTTGAATTTTCAGTCGACCCTTCTTCCAGTAACGACCCTCACAGGGTCTCTTGTTCTCGCTGCCCCACATTAGGCACCAGGTGACCCGGCCTTCGGGTCAGTCAACAGGGTCTACAAGAAAGAGGGGATGGAGGGGCAAGAAACGTGAAGAATGGAGACAAGAAAGTTGTCTGATCAAGTCTCATTTATTGAAAGGCAATTATGAGTATATAAGCACAAGCAGGGGAGTACAGCTGGAGACACTTAATCACGAGTGCCTTGCAGCTGGGGCCACTAAACCATAAGTCCAGGACATGTCTGAAAAAAACAAGATGTTATCAGAGTATGCTCAACTGTTGTGGGCTGCTTGCAAAAATATCTTGCTAGAAAAACAAGTCTCTTGTCAGGGTGGAAAAGTATCAACCTGCAAATATATGGTCCAAGGTAGCTGCAAAGATGATAGCCACTTTCTGCTAGGAGTTGGCTCCCAACAAAAAACGACAATATTTAATGTAGCTACAAGCAAAAAGCTACAAGCAAAGCTGGAGGCATCACACGACCTAAACTTAGTGTACCCTATAAAATGGTTGTAAAGGAAACAGCATTAAGCAATGGAACAGAAGAGAGAGCTCAGAAAACAGAAACTATACTTTTACAATCAACTGGTGGCCTGCTGCCAGTGGCATACAATGGAGGAGCTGTAGTCCCATCAACAGTGCTTGTGGAGAAACAGGACTGACATATTGCAAACTAACTCAAAACAGATAAAGACTTAACACAGACCTGAAAGCAAGCTGAGGGTGTGGTCCGTGATAGGCAACACGCCTAACATGCAGAAGGCCCTGAGTTCAGTCATTAACACCACAGAAAAACAACCGGAGACTATAAAACTACTGAAAGAAAACACGGAGGAAAATTCAGAACTTTAGTCTGGACTGTGATGTGATTTTTTTCTTTAAGATCTGAGCCCCACCCCCAGGGCAAAGATAGACAAATAGAATTATCTGAAAATACAAAGGTTCTCCATATCAAAGGAAACAACCATAAGATAGGATATATATAAGCTATATAAAGAATCCATACAACTTATAGAAATAAGACAAACATGATTGATCAATGGGCAAGAGACTTGAACATTGTCACACAACATATCTAAAGGCTAAGTATTAGAAGAAAGGCCAGCAGCAGTACCCGTAAGAGATGCAAATGAGCCGGGCGGTGGTGGCACACGCCTGTAATCCCAGCACTTGGGAGGCAGAGGCAGGCGGATTTCTGAGTTCGAGGCCAGCCTGGTCTACAGAGTGAGTTCCAGGACAGCCAGGACTACACAGAGAAACTCTGTCTCGAAAAACCAAAAAAAAAAAAAAAAAAGAGAGAGAGAGAGAGAGAGAGAGAGAGAGAGAGAGAGAGAATATGAATTACCATACTACCCAGTGGTCACGGTTTTGAGTACTTTTTATTGGTTATTTTATTTATTTACATTTCAAATGTTATCTCCCTTCCTGGTTTCCCCTCCACAAACCCCTTATCCCATCCCCCCTCCTCTCCGATTCTATAAGGGTGCTCCCCCACCCACCCACCTACTCCCACCTCACCACCCTAGCATTCCCCTATGTTGGGGCATTGAGCCTCCACAGGAACAAGGGGCTCCCCTTCCATTGAAGCCAGATAAGGCAATCCTCTGCTATATATGTGGCTAGAGCCATGGGTCCCTCCATGTGTGCTCTGGTTGGTGGTTTAGTTCCTGGGAGCTCTGGTGTGTATTACCTAAAGATTTTCAATCACTGTGTCAAACTGATGCCTCGACTCCTGCGCTCACTGTGGCACTCTTCACAACTACCATGTTATAGAATCAACCTGCACCCATCACAAACTCACACAAATTCAAACTAAATAGGAAGGAGCTCTTTGATCTGTGACAGCAGTGATAGGACTGAAGGATATTTGCTAAGTGAAACAAGCCAGACCCAGAAGGACGGATACTGCATGCTCTCATTTTCGTGGACAAGAGCTTATCTTATATGAGTAAAGGATACAGGTGTTATCTGAGGCTGGGAGATGGGAGACTTGGAGGATGGGAGTCAGGGTGTGCAAAGTCTCTGCTACACAGAAGGGAGAAGCGTGGGCTGTCACATCAGTCACACAGCCGAATACACACACTGATTTTGCACATGTTACATTTCAATACTGTAAGTTTCCAATGTTTTCATGACAAACTATGAAATGTTTGCAGCAGCATGTTAGTGAGTTTAATATAATTTTCCAATTATATTGAAAATTGTAATACCACCTTATAGTCCATAAACACATACAATTATAATTTATTAATATATAATTTTTAGAGTTACTTAGGTCCTAGGAAATAATAGCCAGAAGATAATTTGATATTATTTGATACTAATATGAAATAATAATAAATTAATGTGAGACTGGTATTAGTCTATATTTCAAAGTGGTTTACCACTTATGGTGATGCACACCTTTAATCTCAGCACTCAAGAAGAAGAGACAGGAGGATATCTGTGAGTTCAAGGCCAGTCTGGTCTACATAGCCAATTCCAAGTCATCTAGGATTGCATAGTAAGACCCTATCTCAAAAAAAGCAGAGGGGCCAAGGAAGAAAACCAGTTTCTTATACACTTTCCTGTGCACTGGGCATCTCTGTGTATGTACACACAAGTGTGTGAACATCTCTGTGTATGTAAAGTATGTAATGGCTGAAATGAAAAATGCTTATTCAGATGGCACCTATGGTTAACTCATATGCTACCGTCAAGTGCGCAGAGCCATGCTCTGAGAAGCCCATGGAGCTGTGACTGTCTCCTGCTGTCTCTTCTTTTGCAGATTGTGCATTGATACTTACTATCAAATTATGTTGATGACACAATTTCTTTCACTGCAGTTTAATTAGAACTATACGTAATACTCTACGGGACCTCAAGAAGGCTATTAAAGGCGTGGTTGTGATGGACTCTGCATTGGAAGCACTTTCTGGCAGCTTGCTTATTGGAAAGGTTCCAGAAATGTGGGCAAAACGATCGTACCCAAGTCTGAAGCCCCTTGGAAGTTACATCACAGATTTCCTGGCCCGGCTGAAGTTTTTAGAGGTAAAGTATTAGGTAGATAGGTGATAGGTAGATAAGTAGATGATAGATAGATAGATAGATAGATAGATAGATAGATAGATAAATTTTATACTTAAAATATATATTATTCAAGTGAAAAATATTTATTGAAATATTGCCAAAAATACCACATAACACAATATAGAGCTGTCATTGTTGAATAGGGAGATATTAGTAATCAACTGTAGTCATTTCCATGTCCCCAGGTTGAATGGAATGTAATTAGTAGTTTCCTGGTTATCTAAGTAAAATATATGAGTATTATAAGATGTACACACTTTGAAGCACTAAGTAAAAAATGGACATTTACTTTAGTCAAACTCATGTGACATTTATATTCGTGAAAGTCCTAAGTCTGTAATTCCCAGACACTACTGTTTAATGTTACCTTGTAACAAAATGGCCCAAGGCTTTATCAATGTTGTCCTTTGTCTTAAAAATCAGAGCTTTTTCTTCAACTTTATCTCAAAAATGGGACAAGTTCTTTGAATCTCCCTTCCTGGGCCTTACCCAGCATGTGCACATGAATATGCACACACATGAATATGCACACACATGAATATGCACACACATGAATATGCACACACATGAATATGCACACACATGAATATGCACACACATGTGCACATACACACAGATGTGCAGGGCACAGGAAAGTGTAAGGTAAGAAACTGGTTTTCTTTCTTGGCCCCTCTGCCTCCTCATTTCATAGTCTGTGTTTACACAAAGGTACAATGTGGGGAGAGTTTCAGGTGTACTTTGAGAGTACAGTGCTCCCCAAAAGTTGTACCAAGTGCTTCCACATCCTTGGCTAACCTAACTGTGTTACTTGCCACCATGAAGTAAGATGGACCAGATGTTAATTACATGTCCCACTCCAGCTGATAGGCAGAGTTCTGTCACCAGAACAGTTGGACTGAATGCACCGCAGTGATTACCACCATATAGTCCTGGCTAGAGACAAGGATTCCTGAACATAAAGGGCACACTTAAAAATATTCTTTGGGGCCATATCAGAGAGGATCTTGACCAGGACGTTTGGTTTTACTTTGATGGGCTACTGAAAAATTATGCAAGACTACAAATCTGGTCCAAACTGTGCAGTCAGATGTATTTCAGTGATGTTGTTCAGATTTTGAGTAGACAGGAGCAAGAGGATCGTGCACACTGGTACAGAAAGAAGACTGAGAGTCCTGATCCTGAGGGGCAGTGCACTTGCAGACATGGGGACACCAGGGCTCGAGATCTGAAATAGCACAGGTTAAAGCTTTGTTCAGTGGCTAGACTTTCTAAAGATGGTGGCTCTTCACTGGGCTAAGCAACATTATTAACACTCACAATTTCGTCTTCTCTTTTGCAGGAGATTTGACTCCTTCAAATTAAATTTACTAAAATTAATGCTGAAACCACTTTGAATTTCCAAGAAGGATAACTAAAAGAAAAAAGGGGGGGAAGAGAGAACATTCGATGTCAGGGAAAGTCTTGTAATGAAAGTAGGGGCAGTGTAGATGAAGAGCAGGAATAGAGTGCAGTGACACTTTTGTAAGCATAGACATAATGCATTTTGTTTTCCTTTCTAGGACTGGTTTGCCTTTGGGAAACCCAGTGTGTTTTGGATCTCTGGCTTCTTTTTCACCCAAGCCTTTTTAACTGGAGCTATGCAGAATTTTGCCAGAAAATACACCATCCCTATCGATTTACTAGGCTACGAATTTGAGGTATAAAGGTCACTCCTTTAACTAAACAATGTGATATTAAATCAGCCACATATTTAAGCAAGGATAATATACAAAATTTATATGTTAAGGCCAAATTAATCTAATTAAATTACTTTTTTATTCTTTGTGTTTTATAAAGTATGTAATTTTTGTCTTGCTGTATCTAGAACTTTCATAATCTCAATATTTTATATAAAAATAATCTAGTATTGTTCTTATGCTGACAAAAATTAATGTGGGGTACAGTAAAATCTGATAAAATGCTTCAAAATAACTATACAAGGCTGGGTAGATAGCTCAGTTAGTAAAGGGCTTGCTACAGAAGCATGAACACGTGAGTTCCATGGGGCAGTGACGTGTGTTTGTAATCCCAGTGCTACAGAGATGGACAGCTGGATCCCTGAGACTCACGGGCCAGCCAACCAAGGCGGATGGCTCCTGAAGAATGATAGCCAAGGATGAAAGATGACCTCTGGCCTTCAGACACAGATGCACATCCACCCTCATGTATCTGCATGTGCACACCAGTGCACGCCCTCATGTGCACACTGCACACACGCACAGGCACACACACACCAACAGCTATACAATATTACATATGTTTACAGATTGTGGCTGGAAAAACTTTAGAGTCTAACAAGTTTTATTTCTATGTATCCTGACTATTCAGACAGAGTTTTCTTTATGAGATGAAGGTATGTGGTGAGCAATATCAATAGTGTGGTTATTGATAATAATATTAATCTCTTCAGGTGATTCCTTTCGATAACGCTACCTATCCACCAGAAGATGGCGTTTATATTCACGGATTGTATCTTGATGGAGCACGCTGGGACAGGATCAGGTTAGTACTGGGAATGACAGGTCCTCATAGCTGAATCACAGCTGTGACAGACACTCTCCTGCCTTCTTCACACCAAAGGACCTCTATAAGAAGTAATGGATTCTCAGAGTCCTTACACAGAGTCATTGCTCAGGCTGGAACAGTTGATGAGTGAGTATTTTCAGGTCCCAACAATCTTCGCTAATATTCTAGTGGTCTCATTCTTAGAAAAGTGAGTAGGTGAGACTGTTCTCCTGCTTCCCCTTGATAACACCTCCCTCCCATCTTGGAGTGTGTAGGACTGAATCGATTTTAAACAACTGACAGTTTAATAAAGCTCCCATTTATGGAATGGAAATCTGTTTACATTTGAGTGTGTGTGTGTGTGTGTGTGTGTGTGTGTGTGTGTGTAAGAGAGAGAGAGAGAGAGAGAGAGAGAGAGATTTCCAGCTTTGTTTTGAGAAACATAAGAGGAAACTATTAAGCTTTTCTTAGTTTAAAATAAGTAGGGATAAAAAGGCAGAACATTTTTTCCCTTGGAACCCTGGTCTTTAACAATTCATTTCTCTAAACAATCGATTTTCAAAGGCAGGGTTGGACTTTGCTCCCAAGTCTGTGAAAGATGGAGGTAGGGAAAATTGCTAATGAGGGATCAATATGATAATTCTACATAGATAATATCAACACAGGGTAATGAAGAGACCCAGTCCACTCCCAGGCCCCCATAGGCTTGTAGCCATATCATAATGCAAAATGCATCCAGTCCAACTTCAAACGTTCCCATAGTCTGTCACACTCTAAACACTGTGCAAGAGTCCACAGTTCAAAGGCTCTTCTGAGACCCATGGCAATCTCTAACTTCCTGAAAAATCAAAGAGCAGATCACATACTTACTACATACATTGCCACAGGATATACATTATGATTCCAAAAGTAGGGAAGGGAACATGATGAGGAATTACTGAACCAAAGCAGGCTCTGAAACCAGCTAGGCAAATACCAAATTCTGCATCTCCAAATTCAAACCACCACACCAAGACATACATCATTTCTTTTCTGTCTCTTTTCTGATCTCTCTGTCTCTATCTGTCTTCTGTCTCTGCCTCTGCCTCTGCCTCTCTCTCTCTCTCTGTGTCTCTCTCTCTCTCTGTGTGTGTCTCTCTGTCTCTGTCTCTGTCTCTCTCTCTGTCTCTCTCTCTCTCTCTGTCTCGTGTGTGTGTGTGTGTGTGTGTGTGTGTGTGTGTGTGTGTTTGTGTGTGTGTGTGTGCTGGCCTGGCTTTGAATTCAGTATTCCCCTGCCTCATCCTCTTAAGCACTGTCCTGCTGGTGTGCAGCCCCTTGGCTGGTCTCGGCACCTCATCAGTTTATTGCAATTTTCTTTGCCATCTCAGATTGTTTAGTTTTCCTTTATTTTGTTTTTATCTTGTTGGTCAAAGTCTCACTCTGTAGCCAAGAGTGAAGTGGACTCCCAGCTGTCCTCTGGCTCAGCCTCTCTAGTACTTGAGTATAGGGGTCAGTCACCACGCCCAGCTTACATTTGAATCTTGACCCTGTCAGGAACGCTAAAGGATTATTCAGAGTCCTGGAGTCCCGACTCTGTCTGTGGACTGGGAATGGACATGGTGGTGCTGAGGGTGGGATACGGTAAGGCGGTGTCTGCTTCAGCTGCATAAATGCTGGCAAGCCTTGATACTTGTTCCCTGGTTGACTTGTCCCATAATCTTCAGTTGTTTCAATTCTTCATTGCTTTCTCCTCCTCCTCCTCCCTTCCCTCGACCCTTTCCATCCTCCTCCTCCTGTCTCTCTCTATAAATCTAATCTTTCCTCTGTATCTCTGGTCCAGTCTTACATTGAAGGCCAATGTCTCATTGGCAGTCTTGTTCTAATGAGCAGGTTTCAGAGGTAACTAATAATACCCACCAATTTCTCTTGCAGTGGACTGCTTGCTGAACAATACCCCAAGCTTCTGTTTGACCTGATGCCCATCATATGGATAAGACCAAGTAAATATGTAACAAAATACATTGAGTTTTACAGAGAATAATGACAGATATTAACTGTTCCCCTTAATAAGTTTTTGCTCAAACCTTTTAGGACTTAATTCAGTTTTTGATTTATAAAAGATGGAATATCTGTGCTGTGAATATTTTGTGGCATTTATATTATTCTGGAAACATCACTCTGTCTCTCTATGCCCTTAGCCTGTATAAGATATGCTTTTAGCCGGGCAGTGGTGGCTCACGCCTTTAATCCCAGCACTTGGGAGACAGAAGCAGGCAGATTTCTGAGTTCGAGGCCAGCCTGGTCTACAGAGTGAGTTCCGGGACAGCCAGAGCCACACAGAGAAACCCTGTCTCGAAAAACAAAAACAAACAAACAAACAAAAAAACAAAAAAAAACAAAAGATATGCTTTTAAGGGCTGGAGAAACGGTTTCTTGCCATTTTTCCAGAGGGTACAGTTCAGTTTCCAGCACCCATGTCTGACAGCTTGGGGCTCTTAGCTCTGGACTCTGAAGTCCTCTTCTGGCCTGCTGGTAGCTCTAGCTCGAGGAGACCAGATACCCTGTTCTGGTTTCAGCAGGCACAGGTACACACATGGTACCCATACACGTAGACATACACACATAAGACATAAGTAAAAAATAACTATCTTTTTAAGATATCGCCTTGCTTATTCTATTTTGTTTTACCCCTTAGAGGAGGTGCTTGCTTTTCCTACCATGCTCATCTTTCTTTCCTTTTTTTTTTTTTTTTTTTTTAAATGCGTTTGTCTGGTTTGGTTTGGTTTGGTTTGGTTTTTTTGAGATAGGGATTCTCTGTGTGGCTCTGGCTGTCCTGGAACTCCCTCTGTCAACCAGGCTGGCCTCGAACTCAGATCTGCCTGACTCGCCTCCCGAGTGCTGGGCTTAAAGGTCAGTGTTTTTCTAAAAGTAAACTAACAATAATAATAATGAAGCTCATTCTAATTTTTAAAAGTTATTTTTAGTTTTACCTTTTTGAAATGCTGCAATCAGGCCCAGTGCCTCACACACATGAGGCAAGTGGCTCACCACTGAGTTACACCCAACTTTCTGATTCTTAAATAGCAGTGGGCAAACATTCACAATTACCTACAGTCACCACCCAACCTATGAAACACCTTTCCTAGCAATGGGATTCAACTATTACAAGGGCAGCTTTTCATTTAGAAAACCTCCTAATGCTTTAGATCTGGCTTCTGGGAGTTGCACACAGGGTATGTTGTGAGTTTACAGGAGTTAGCATATTTTCCTTATTAGTAAGTGGCATCTTCTAGTTGGCGTGTTAACGCTGGCTGGCAGGTAGTGCCGGCTTCACACCTGCATGGACCCTGGACTTCTTGGCATTTGCTTCATTTGTAATTCAAGATGTCCAGTGCTGTTCAAGAGTCCTACTAGAGTTCTAAGTAGTTCCTCCCGAAATCTCTTCTATCACATACTCTATTTAACTTCTTCTCCAACTTGTCACCTTTTCCCTTCTCTCTGTATCCTCTCTAGAGGTTTTTCATGCCTGCTAAGAGATCAAAACTGTTTTTCTAAGATTTATCTTTATGGGGCTGGAGAGATGGCTCAGCAGTTAAGAGCACTTGCTGCTCTTCCAGAGGACCCAAATAATCTCCCCTGCACCCATGTTGGGTGGCTTTCAACTGCCTGTAACTCCAGTTCCAGAGGATCCAGGGGCCTCATCTGGACTCTGTGGGAAACTGAACTTATGTTCACATTCTCCCATCCCCCCACAAAGCCACACACATATACACATAATTATTTTAAAGAGTTTTAATTATGTGTTTGTCTTTGTGTGGTGTACAGAAAAGGGCATCGTATCTACTGGATCTGGAGGTACAGGAGGTTGTGAGCTGCCAGATGTAGGTGCTGGAAACTGAACTGGGGTCTCTGGGACAGCAGGCAGTGTCTTAGCCTCGGAGCCATTTCTCCAGTACCATAAGAGAACAAAACTTTACAGTCAACTCCTGATTTCTAGCCTGGACTCATGCACCATATGAAAGGGCTAGCCTAGACTCATGCACCATATGAAAGGACTAGCCTCCATATAGCAATTGTTTGTATTTAAATTTAAATCTTCCAAATATCACACTCAAGATCTTGGCCATTCTATCACAAGGTAAACAGTTGTTCTTTTAGAAACAGACTGTTTCCTCTTTCTTTAATGAATATGTTTCTCTCTCTTTTTCTTTTTCAAGATCTAAAGACTGATATTGTGAAGACAGATGCGTATGTCTGTCCCCTCTACAAGACAAGCGAACGTAAGGGAACTCTTTCCACTACAGGACACTCTACCAACTTTGTCATTGCAATGTTGTTGAAGACAGACCAGCCCGCTCAACACTGGATCAAGCGTGGGGTGGCTTTGCTCTGTCAGTTGGATAACTAAGTTGAACAAGTTTAGAAATGTCTGATCATTTTTTTCATTTTTCACCTACTTAAAAAAAAAAAATCCCCAACTGAATTTTGTGGTGTCATTCTTTGAACTTGTCTTTGCCGCATTCGGTCTGATGTTCCTCCCTTGGTTAGCAAAGTCCTATAACCAGATTCCTTTGTGAGTTGAGCTGGACACCTTCAGAGAGAATGTGAAACAAAGTGTTACTTTGAAGCATATGGAAATCTTTATGGATTTCATTTAGTTCCTTAAAGGTTGATAAAACACAGAGAAAGATTCGGATACTAGGTGGGTGTAATTGAGTGTGTGTTAGAGAGTGTATCCTTCACTAGGGCTGTCCCGTCTTCCGCTCCATTCATTACATACGTTCTTCTCGGCTACCTGAAGTCACTATGCGTGGACAGTCAAACACTTAAAAGCATGGTGAGGAAAATATTAAGGCAAAGAGCCAAAACGTGTATCTCGTACTTCTAAGATATTGTTTTAATTTCTCCAAGTACCCTTATAACTAACAAGGAAGTGAAGTGACATGGCAGAGCGGGCTGCTGGTTAGTGCAGCTCCCACGGCTACAGTGGCATCCATCCTCTTGGCATTTCATTCTTCAATGGAAATGTCAAGTAGTCCATTACTTAAAAACTTCTCATTTTGTTTTATTACAAGTAGTAGTATTAGTGTGTGTGTGTGAGTGTGTGTGTGTATGTGAGCATGTGTGTGTGTGAGTGTGTGTGTGTGAGTGTGTGTGTATGTGAGCATGTGTGTGTGTGAGCATGTGTGTATGTGAGCATGTGTGTGTGTATGTGAGCATGTGTGTGTGTGTGAGGAGTATGTGTGTGTGTGTGAGTGTGTGTGTGTATGTGAGCATGTGTGTGTGTGAGCATGTGCATGTGTGTGAGTGTGTGTGTGTGTGTGTGTATGTGAGCATGTGTGTGTATGTGAGCATGTGTGTATATGTGAGGATGTGTGTGCATGTGAGCATGTGTGTGTGTGTGAGCATGTGTGTGTGTGCGTGTGTGTGTATGTGAGCATGTGTGTGTATGTGTGTGCGTGTGTGTGTGTGTGTGTGTGTGTGTGTGTGTGTGTGTGTATAAACAGCCTTTTGGAGCTGATACTCCGCTTCCTCCTGGGGACTGGAACTCAGGTCATCAAGTTTGACCAACCACCCTTACCCTCTGAACCATCTTGGTGACTCCATTTCTCCTTTGTTGTTGCTGATACTTGGTGTTCTTATTACTTAGTATGCACTGATAATATTATCATACACTGAGAATTTATAAATATTTCAAAAAATAAAAACTTAGTCAAAATTGTATTGCGTTGTGGGGCTAAGGAGAGCTCTCAGTTGGTAAAGTGCTTGTCATTCAGGCATGAGAACCCAAGTTCAGTCCCCAGAACACTTATACAAAATCTAGATCGGGAGCAGGAAAGGTGCCTCAACAGTAAGGTATCCTGCTCTTGCAGAAGGCCTGAGATCAGTTCTCAGCACCCACATCAGGTGGCACACGACTGCCATAACTCCGGCCCCCAGGGATCCAATGCTCTGTGGACAGCTCGCTCACGTGCAGAAGCCCACAGAGATGAGGAAATATACACATAATTTAAAACACTTTTTCAAGTTTTTAAAAACATGACTGTAGTGACATGCACTTTGTAATTCCAGGACTGGGAAAGCGGAGACGAGCGGATCCTTGAACTCACGCCAGCCTGTAGAACTAGCAAGCCCTGGGTCTCCATGAACAAGAAGGTGGCTGGAAACGAGGCTTAGCAGTTAACAGTGTTTTCTATCTTGCAGAGGAACTGAGTTCAGGTCTCAGTGCTCACGTCAGGTGGCTCACAACCACCTGGAACTCCAGTTCTAGGGCACCCATTGTAGGACCTTAAAGGCCCAGGATTAAAGAGGGAAGGGTTGAGGAGAGCTTCAACCCAGGATACCTCAATGAGGACGGCAGTTGCTGGCTTCCTTCCCTTTCCCAACCTGGCACCAGAAAGCTGGTTCCCACCATTAACCCTCCTAAGAATTTATCACCCCGACAGTTATCAGGCCTCACTCTTTGTTTGACCTTACAAGGTTTTTACCCCTTAGGTCCCCTAACCTCTGAGTATGCAGATGTCCTGGCCAATTGTACAGGGCCACACAGACATTTCCCCAGAGACCCTGGCCACCTCTTCAGGGGCATAAATACACCCCCCCCCCATAAACAAACTAGTCTTTGAAGCTGTTCCTAAGTGTGTGTGTCTTTCCTGAGAACTCATCTCCCAAGGTCCTGCACTGATTGCATCCACCCAGCATGGCTAAGCTTCCTCCGGTTGGCTATCCCAAGGGGGAGCAGCAATCCATCACCCTCTTCTGGCCTCCAAAGGCACCTACATACAAATGGTACACACATACATGCAGGCACATACACGTAAAATAAAAATCTTTTAAAAGGCTTCCGAGGAATAACACTTTAAGGTCAATGTCTGGCCTCCACAGGTTGTACATACATGTGTGCTACACCTACACACACACACACACACACACACACACACTTTAAAAGTAAGTTCTGGGGTGGGGCAGCTGTAGAAACTGGAGCAAGGTGGCAGGATGTAGTGCCCCGGGCCCTTCAGTACCCTCTATGGGCAGGTCCTGGCCCCACTGCCCGGGCGGGTGGGGAACGAGGCCTTGGACAGGGGCGGGAATAACTGGGGCCTCTTGGGCTCCCACGTGCAGTTGCCCGAGGCGGGGCATGCACAGTTGGAGACCCTCGGGGACAAGGGAGGCTTGAGCAGGGCGAGCAGGGCGAGCAGGGCCAGCACGGCCACCTCCACAATGTCCAAGGCCGAGGAGGCTAAGGAGCTGGCGAGCCACACGGCGGTGGAGAGCTACGTGTAGAATAACCAAGTGCTGCGCAGTGGAAATGGATCTACAGTTGTCCATGCTGTGCAGTGAATAGCTGAAAGAGTGAAGCAAGAGAATCTGGACCTCATCTGCATCCCTACATCTTTCCAGGCCAGGCAGCTCATCTTGCAGTTTGGTTTAACCCTCAGTGACTTGGATCAACACCCAGAGACTGACCTTGCCATCGATGGTGCTGATGAAGTGGATGGTGAGCTCCATCTCATCAAGGGTGGAGGAGGCTGCCTGACCCAGGAGAAGATCGTGGGGCTGGTTACACCAGTCGCTTCATTGCGATCACTGATTTCAGGAAGGATTCAAAGAACCTTGGGGATCGGTAGCACAAGGGAATTCCTATTGAAATCATCCCAATGGCCTGTGTCCAGTGAGTAGAGCTGTGACCCAGAAGTTTGGGGGTGAGGTGGAACTTCGGATGGCTGTCAACAAGGCAGGGCCTGTGGTGACAGATAATGGGAATCTTATCTTGGACTGGAAGTTTGACTGGGTACATAAATGGAGTGAAGTGAACACAGCTATCAAAATGACTCTAGGCTTTATGAACACAGGCCTTTCCATCAACATGGCAGAGTCTACTTCGGGATGCAGGATGGCTCAGTGAACGTGAGAGAGAAGCCTTTCTAACTCCGAGAGGAGCAGGGTGCTCACCTTGAGTCTCCAGCCCAGGCACAGTGGACATGCTTCACCGGAAGCCTTTGCCTCAATGTACCTTCGTGTAGCTGTCCACAGTGCCAGAGTGGACGGCTGGCCGTGGGTGCGTGTGGGTAGTCAAATCCAGTCTTTTTTCTTTTTTTTTTTCTTTTTTTTTTTTTTTT